TTTAATTAACAATAAGTTGATTCCTAAGGGCTTTGCGAGGCCTCAAGTAAATGTTTTCATTGGATTATCAGTCGTGTTTATTTTTATTAGACATTTAATCGGGAAATTGCCTTAAATAAGTATGAAGCTCGACAATGTTTTCTTTACGATGACAGCGTTTCTCCTGCAAAATTAATGTTGATTGATTGGATATTTGCCTTGAAACTTTCAGCGAGACTGTAATAGATCTACTGATAACTCAGTTATTGAAGTTGATAACATTTGTTCTTTTTGTATTTTGTTTGTTGTAGTTTTATGTTTATTTAGCAATTTCTTGCCATATTGATGCGGATGGCGACAGGATTTTGAACATTCTATCTTGATCAGAAAACGATTTGGTTTCAAAGATATCGGCGGTTGAAATTTTCAAAATATTACTAGTTACTCGTCTTAAGTGTTGCAGTTTTCTCGATTTTCATATTGGGAAGATTCTTGGGTAGAAAGCATTTCGTCCAGTTTACATGATTTTTTTGCCGAAAATGCCTCAAAATACATACCTAACATCTTCATTCCGAGAAATCGATCAACTTCGGATCCGAAATAATCGGTTTTATTAAAAGGGGCTAAACGTTTTTTGAGCGGCTGCGGTTTTTAGCCGACAACATTTTTCTTATTTCCCCCCAAAACAATTGATTTATGAATATTGGGGAGATTGTTAGATAGAAAAGCATTTTTAAGCGATTGCAATTTTTAGCCGACGATATCTTCATTATTTTCAATCGAAACACGTTAAATGCGCATATTAAGGCTCTTTTTAGGTTCAAAACAATTCATTGACGTCAAAAACTCCACATGTAAAATTTCGATGTTTGATCAAAATTTTTTAAGGGGTACAGTTCTATTTTTTCAAAAAACATCAATTTCCTCAAAATTCCTCGAATTCTACATTATTTTCATCAAAATGAAGTTTAGAAGACGGAAAACTTCTTGAAAAACTTATTACATTCTTCAGATTTGAAATAATCGACATTTTCGGTACATTTTAGGCATTTTATAGCGGTTGCAATTTTTAACCGACGATATCTTCATTATTTTCGATCGAAACCCTTTATGTGCGCATGTTGAGGCGCTTATTGGGTCGAAAACAATTCATTGAGCTCAAAAATTTTGATTTTAGATCGAAAATTTTTGAGGGGTGGAGGTTGGTTTTTTAGATTTGGGAGAGACTAAAAAACCAGTCCAAAATGTTTTATTCAAAAAATCCTTTGTTATTTTATTAAAAAACTGTTGCAAACTTGATCAAAATCAAATTATACACTGTACAATTACAGTGCTTAAAGCGCATATTGAAAAACACTATTGCTGAATCTAAATTCCCATCTTTCTAGTCAAAACCATCAACAAATGCAAATTGAGCCCGATTTAAACCAAACTACGCAAATATTGAATGAACTCCAATTGCAAATAAAGACCGATTCATAATTAATTACAACAACAATGTCCTTCTTTGCCTCAAAGAGCCGATGACATTTTCCCTGTTAATGCGTATATTGCACCCCTCATTACGAAAAAAAATCACACGAAAAACATTGTCAGCTCATCGATTACTATCCCTTAACATTTGTTTGTATCCCAGTGGCACAAACTAAGCGGAAAAGGTCACAAGATAAATATGCCTCAGCACCAAATAATACGTGACAGATACCATTCGGTGAATTATTTATTGCTCTTTGCCTCGACAAGTATCGATTGATCGAAATAGAAATTAGTCTTCAAATGGGCTGTTGAGGAAATTACATTTAGGTCGACCCGAAAGAGATATTTTACCACACACATTTACAGATCGAGATTTGTATGTGTTCCTGTTCCCTTTGCAGGTTACATGTGAGCTTCTAAGTCCATTGTCTTTTCCACCACTCATTTGGCTTTCAGATTTTTATAGATAGGTAAAATTAAATTTATCCAACCCTGCAAGGGCGGATCCAGGGGGGTCATGGGGGTTATGACCTCCCCATTCAATTCTCTATCCAACGATGCCAAAACGAATTCTCTGGCTCAAATGGTTCTTGAGAAACTTCGAAAAAAGCAGCGTCAGGTTCAAGTGGATTTTGCAACTCAAAAAAAACTACGCAAATCTAAAACTTCTTGAATTCAAGCATTTTTTGAAAAAACTGCCAACATTTCCTTATCGATGGTTCACTTTCTAAAGAGGCCATTTATTTCTCTCTAGAATGATGTACAAATGAGCGTTCTTGCTCATTTTGCCTCCGAGAAATGAGCAAAAACGGGACGAAAAACATGAAATTTT